ACGACTCCCTGGGTCCCACAAATCCATCCCTGGATTTCACAATCCATTCCTGGATCCCATTAATCCAAACCCTGGATCACACAGCTCCATCCCTGGATCCCAGGAATCCATCCCTGGATCCCAGGAATCCATCCCTGCATCCCACAATCCATCCCTGGATCCCAGGAATCCATCCCTGCATCCCATTCTGGATCCCAGGAATCCATCCTGGATCCCATCCCTGCATCCCAGGAATCCATCCTGGATCCCAGGAATCCAGCCCTGGATCCCAGGAATCCAAACCCTGGATTTCATAGTCCATCCCTGGATCCATCCCTGGATCCCACGAATTCATCCCTGGGTCCCACAAATCCATCCCTGGATTTCACAATCCAGTCCTGGATCCCATTAATCCAAACCCTGGATCACACAGCTCCATCCCTGGATCCCAGGAATCCATCCCTGCATCCCATTCTGGATCCCAGGAATCCATCCTGGATCCCATCCCTGGATCCCTCAAATCCAACCCTGCATCCCATCCTGGATCCCAGGAATCCATCCTACATCCCATAGTCCATCCCTGCATCCCACAAATCCATCCCTTCATCCCAGGAATCCATCCCTGGATCCCATCCTGGATCCCAGGAATCCATCCCTGCATTCCACAAATCCATCCCTGGATCCTACAATCCAACCCTGCATCCCATTCTGGATCCCAGGAATCCAACCCTGCATCCCACAATCCATCCCTGCATCCCAGGAATCCATCCCTGGATCATCCCTGGATCCCACGAATTCATCCCTGGGTCCCACCAATCCATCCCTGGATCCCATTAATCCAAACCCTGGATCACACAGATCCATCCCTGGATCCCAGGAATCCATCCCTGCATCCCAGGAATCCATCCCTGGATTCCCTCCTGGATTCTCCCCACCCCTCCCCCCCCCAACACATCCAAGTCACAGCACAGGAACCGGGATTGGGTTGGGAATGGTGGATCCTGAAGGAAGATCCACCGGGAATTCCACCGGGAGAGGCTCCCAAATCCAGGGCGGAGCCTCCCCTGGCTGATCCATCCCCAAATCCCGGGAATGCCGGGAATGCCAGACCCGCCCATGGTCCCTGCCCGCTCCCGGGGGCGCTCCCGGCGCGGATCCCGCGGGAGAATTCCCGCGTGGAAGAGCGTGGGGAGCTGCAGGAGCCACATCCCTCAGAATTCCCATATCCCTCCGGAGAATTCCCGCCTCCCTCAGGAGAATTCCCGCAGGAATTGGGCGTGGAAGCGCACGAGGAGCTGCAGGACCCGCTCCAGCCTCTCCGGCGGCAGCAGCAGCGACAGCCTGGGGGGCACCGGGGGCACCGGGAGGGGCACGGGGTCACTCTGAACCCCCCTAAACACACACGACTCCCCCATCCCGGGGGGACCCCAAAATCCCACCACAACAACCCCAAAATCCCACTCCCCAACAGCCCAAAATCCCACCCCTAACACCCAACACCCCCACCCCCATGGACCCCAAAATCCCACCCCAAACACCCTGATGGGACCCCAAATCCCACCACAACAACCCCAAAATCCCACCCCTTGACACCCAACACCCCCACCCCGATGGACCCCAAAATCCCACCCCCAACACCCCAACAGGACCCCAAATCCCACCCCAGCAACCCCAAAATCCCCCCAACAACCCCACCCTATGGGACCCCAACCCCAACCCCAATCCACCCCAACCTCCAAACGGGACCCCATCCCACCTGGACCCCAACACCCCTGATGGACCCAAATTCCCCCAACCCCAAAATCCCACCCCCAACACTCCAAACAGGACCCCAAAATCCCACCCCTTGACACCCAACACCCCCACCCCGATGGGACCCCAAATTCCACCCCCAACCCCAAAATCCCACCCCAACACTCCAAACAGGACCCCAAAATCCCACACCCCTTGACACCCAACACCCTGCCACCCTGATGGGACCCCAGATCCCTACCCCCAACCCCAAAATCCCATCCCCAGCACGGAACCCCATCCCCAACACCCCCACCCCAACGGGACCCCAAAATCCCTTCACCCCCACCCCAACTACTCCAAAATCCCAACCCCAACTCCCACCCTCAGCCCCCCCATTTTGGGTGTTCTCCCCACTCCCTCACATTTTGGGTGCCCCCAGTGCCCCAGGGGTCCCCCTGCACCCCCAAATCCCACCACAACAACTCCCAAAATCCCAACCCCAACAGGACCCCAAAATCCCACCCTTGACACCCAACACACTCCCACCTCGATGGGACCCCAAAATCCCACCCCAAACGCCCCAACAGGACCCCAAAAATCCCACCCCTTAACACCCAACACCCCCACCCCGATGGGGACCTCAAAATCCCCCTGACACTCCCAACAGGACCCCCACCCCCCATTTTGGGTGCCCCAGGGGTCCCCTGTACCTCAGGTGGAGCCCCCTGTGCCCGAGTGGCTCCTGGGTCACCGCCAGCCCCGTGAGCTCCTCCAGCCGCCGGCAGAAGAAACGGTCGGGCTGCAGCGACAGCGCCTGGGGACACGCGTGGGGACACGGACATGGGGACAGGGACAGGAGACACGCGTGGGGACACGGAAAAGGACACGCGTGGGGACACGGACAGGGACACGCGTGGGGACACGGACATGGGGACAGGGACACGCGTGGGGACACGGACAGGGACACGCGTGGGGACAGGGACAGGAACACGCGTGGGGACACGGACATGGGGACACGCGTGGGGACACGGACAGGGACAGCGCCTGGGGACACGCGTGGGGACACGGACATGGGGACAGGGACACGCGTGGGGACACGGACAGGGACACACGTGGGGACACGGACATGGGGACAGGGACACGCGTGGGGACACGGACAGGGACACACGTGGGGACACGGACATGGGGACAGGGACACGCGTGGGGACACGGACAGGGACACGCGTGGGGACACGGACATAGGGACACGGACAGGGACACGCGTGGGGACACGGACATGGGGACAGGGGCGTGGGGACACGGACAGGGACACGCGTGGGGACAGGGACACGCCTGGGGACACGGACATGGGGACAGGGACACGCGTGGGGACAGGGACAGGGACGTGGGGACACGGACAGGAGACACGCGTGGGGACAGGGACAGGGACATGGGGACAGGGACACGCGTGGGGAGAGGGACAGGGACATGGGAACAGGGACAGGGACATGCGTGGGGACAGGGACAGTGCCTGGGGACACGCGTGGGGACAGGGACAGGGACGTGGGACACGCGTGGGGACAGGGACAGTGCCTGGGGACATGCGTGGGGACAGGGACAGGGACGTGGGACACGCGTGGGGACAGGGACAGGGACAGGGGAGGGGACAGAACCGCTGGGACCAGGGGGGACAGGGGGAACACCCAGGGGGGACTCCCGGGTGGACCGGACCCTGTGCCCAGGGGGGTCCCGAAACACACGGGGTGTCCCCTGGAGAGCCCCCTGTCCCCAGAGTGTCCCCTGTCCCCAGAGTGTCCCCTGTCCCCTGGAGAGCCCCCTGTCCCCAGAGTGTCCCCTGTCCCCGGGGTGTCCCCTGTCCCCAGGGTGTCCCCAGGGTGTCCCCAGGGTGTCCCCTGTCCCCAGGGTGTCCCGAGTCCCCAAGACCCCCCGTGTCCCCAGGATCCCCCCACACCAGAGTGTTCCCCATATTCCAACCCTGTCCCCTGTCCCCAGGGTGTCCCCTTCCCCACGACCCAGGGATGTCCGGTGTCCCCAGGATCCCCCATATCCCAGGATGTCCCATGTCCCAGGATCCCCCATATCCCAGGATCCCCCATATCCCAGGATCCCCCATATCCCAGGATGTCCCATATCCCAGGATCCCCATATCCCAGGATCCCCATATCCCAGGATGTCCTATGTCCCAGGATCCCCATATCCCAGGATCCCCCATGTCCCAGGATCCCCCATATCCCAGGATCCCCCATATCCCAGGATGTCCCATGTCCCGAAGATCCCCCATATTCTCAGTCCCCACCCCCAGGGTCGTGTCCCCTCCCTCTCTCCCTCCAGTCCTCCCAATCCCATCCCTGTTCCCTCCCCGTCCCCCAGTGTCCCCACTGCCCCACTCCCCAGTGCCCCAGTGTACCCACTCCTCAGTGCCCCCAGTGTCCCCAGTGCCTCCACTCCCCCAGTGTCCCCACTCCCCAGTGTACCCAGTGCCCCCAGTGTCCCCAAATTCCCACTCCCCAGTGCCCCCATTCCCCCAGTGTCCCCAGTGCCTCCACTCTCCCCAGTGTCCCCATTCCCCAGTGTCCCCACTCCCCAGTGTATCCAGTGCCCCCAGTGTCCCCAAGTTCTCAGCCACCCAGTGTCCCCATCCCCAGTGTACCCAGTGACCCCCAGCGTCCCCACTCCCCCAGTGTCCCCAGTGTCAACAGTGCCTCCTGTCCCCCCAGTGCCCCACTCCCCGTGTCCCCAGTGTCCACAGTGCCCCAGTCCCCATTGTCCCCAGTGCCCACAGTGTCCCCACTCCCCCACTCCCCCACTCCCCAGTGCCACCTCCCCAGTGTCCCCAGCCCCCAGCCCCCCAGTGTCCCCAGTGCCCCGTGTCCCCAGTGCCCCCAGTGCCCCCAGCCCCCATTGTCCCCAGTGCCCACAGTGCCCCCTGTCCCCCAGTGCCCCACTCCCCCAGTGTCCCCAGTACTCCCACTCCCCAGTGTCCCCAGCTCCCCAGTGTCCCCAGTCCCCTCCATTGTCCCCAGTGTCCCCAGTGTCCCCATTGTCCCCAGTGCCCCACTCCTCCAGTCCCCCAGCCCCCATTGTCCCCACTCCCCAGCCCCCCGCTGTCCCCGTGTCCCGCTCTGACCGTGGCGCAGCTCCGGGCGCGGGGGGGGATGTGGATGCGGGGGAAGGCGCGGGGCCCCCCGGCCAGGGGCGGGCAGCGCATCCCGGGGGTCCCGCCCAGCACCTCCTGCACCCGCCGCGCGTTCCGCGCCAGAGCCCGGCACAGCTCCCGCCGGTGCTGCCACGGCACGCGTGGGAATGAGGGATGGATTGATTGGGGGATGGAATGTGCCCAGAGCCCGGCACAGCTCCCGGCACAGCTCCCGCCGAGGCTGCCACGGCACGCGTGGGAATGAGGGATTGATTGATTGATTGGGGGCATGGAATGTGCCCAGAGCCCGGCACAGCTCCCGCCGGTGCTGCCACGGCACGCGTGGGAATGAGGGATGGATTGATTGGGGGCATGGAATGTGCCCAGAGCCCGGCACAGCTCCCGCCGGTGCTGCCACGGCACGCGTGGGAATGAGGGATTGATTGATTGATTGGGGGCATGGAATGTGCCCAGAGCCCGGCACAGCTCCCAGCACAGCTCCCGGCACAGCTCCCGGCTGGGCTGCCAATGGGTTAAATGGGATGGGATTGGGATTGGGATTGGGGCGGGATGGGTTAAATGAGATGGGATCAGATTGGAATTGGGGTGGGATTGGGATGGGGGTTGGATTGGGGTGGGGTGGGATGGGATGGGGTGGGATTGGGATGGTATAGGATTGGGGTGGGATGGGTTAAATGAGATGGATTGGATTGGATTGGAATTGGAGTGGGATTGGGGTGGGATTGGGGTGGGGTGGGATGGAGTGGGATTGGGACTGGGGTGGATGGGATGGGATGGGATGGGATGGGATGGGATGGGATGGGATGGATGGGATGGGATGCAACCAAGATCCGGCACAGATCCCAGCAGTGTTGCAATGGGGGACTTTAGGATTGTAATGGAAATGGGATTGGGGCAGGATTGGGATAATGGGATGGGACAGGGTGGGATGGGGATTGGGATGGGATTGGGATAATGGGATGGCAACAGGATGGGATGGGGATGGGGTAAGAAATGGGATAGAGTGGGGTGGGATGGGATGGGATGGGATGGGGTGAGAAATGGGATAGGATGGGATGGGATGGGATGGGGTGGGATGGGAGGAGGGGAGGGGAGGGGAGGGGGATGGGATTGAGTGGGATGGGGATGGGATGGGATGGGATGGGATGGGATGGGATTGGGATGGGATGGGATGGGATGAGATGGGATGGGATGGGATGGGATGGGATGGGATGGGATGGGATTGGGATGGGATGGGATGGGATTGGGATGGGATGGGATGGGATGGGATTGGGATGGGTGGATGGGATTGGGATGGGATGGGATGGGATGGGATGGGATTGGGATTGGGGTGGAGGATTGGGGATGGGATTGGGATTGGGATGGGATGGGATGGGATGGGGATGGGAGTAAAGATGGATGGGATGGGATGGGATGGATGGGATGGGATGGGATGGGATTGGGATGGGATGGGATGGGGATGGAGTAAAAAATGGGATGGGATGGGATGGGATGGGATGGGATGGGATGGGATGGGATGGATGATGGGATGGGATGGGATGGGATGGGATGGGATGGGATGGGATGGGATGGGATGGGATGGGATGGGATTGGGATTGGTGGATGGATTGGGGTGAGATTGGGATTGGGATGGGATGGGATGGGATGGGGATGGAGTAAAAAATGGGATGGGATGGGATGGGGTGGGATGGGACATGTCCCAAGCAGCATCCCCCACCTCGTGCACGGCCTGCCCGATGGGATCCCCGGTGTCGGGCGGCTCCAAGAGCAGATCCAGGAGGATCCTGCCCGGCACGCAGGGCCGGGGGATGGACTGGGCCAGCTGGAAGGGCTGCCTGACCCCCTCCTCGATGTTCACCAGCTCCAGGAACCCCGCGCGGAAGCCGCTCCTGCGGGAACGCCCCCGCTCAGCCCGCACATCCCTCCCACAAACCCCTCCCGCGGCATTCCCGGCGCTCCCAACTCACTCCCCGGCGGCGCTCTTGGACAGGGAGTACAGGGAGATGAGCTGGACTGAGCGGGACAGAGGAGCCCCCGCCTCGCCCAGCACCCGGCGGAACGACAGGAACGGCCGAGCCGGGTCAAAGCAGCGCTCCTGATGCACCTGGAACGGGGAAAAGCGGGATGGAAACGGGATAGAGGGGAGGGAAATGGGATAGAAGGGGGAATGGAAATGGGATAAGGGGGGTGGAAATGGGATAAGGGGGTGGAAATGGGATAAGGGGAAGGAAATGGGATAGAAGGGATGGAAATGGGATAGAGGGGAGGGAAACGGGATAAGGGGAGGGAAATGGGATAAGGGGGGTGGAAATGGGATAAGGGGGATGGAAATGGGATAAAGGGGGTGGAAATGGGATAAAGGGGAGGGAAATGGGATAATGGGGGTGGAAATGGGATAATGGGGGTGGAAATGGGATAGAGGGGATGGAAATGGGATAAGGGGGATGGAAATGGGATAAAAGGGGTGGAAATGGGATAATGGGGATGGAACAGGGATAAAGGGGATGGAAATGGGATAAAGGGGAGGGAAATGGGATAAGGGGGGTGGAAATGGGATAAGAGGGGTGGAAATGGGATAAGGGGGGTGGAACAGGGAGAACGGGGATGGAAATGGGAGAACGGGGATGGGACAGGGATAAAGGGGAGGGAACAGGGATAAGGGGGATGGAAGTGGGATAAAGGGGATGGAAATGGGAGAATGGGGATGGAAAAGGGATAATGGGGATGGAAATGGGAGAATGGGGATGGAACAGGGATAATGGAGATGGAAAAGGGAGAACGGGGATGGAAATGGGATAAAGGGGATGGAAATGGGATAAGGGGGATGGAAATGGGATAAAAGGGGTGGAAATGGGAGAATGGGGATGGAAATGGGATAAAAGGGATGGAAATGGGATAAAGGGGATGGAAATGGGATAAAGGGGAGGGAAATGGGAGAATGGGGATGGAAAAGGGATAATGGGGGGGAAATGGGGCTGGGAAAGGGGATAATGGGGGCACTGGGGAGGTGAACCGGGAGGGAATGAGGCAGGAGGTGCCCTCGGCATGGGAGGGAAAATGGGGCTGGAAAAAGGATAATGGGGGGCACTGGGGGAGAAATAGGGTGGGAATGGTGGGGGGTAAGCTCTGGGAATGGGGTGGGCACTGGGACAGGGAAATGGGGCTGGGGAAGGGTTAATGGGGGCACTGGGAGGGGAACAGGGCAGGCAATGGGGCAGGGGGTGCCCTGGGCACTGGGTGGGCACTGGGATGGGGTAGGGCACTGGGAAAGGGGTAATGGGTGAACTGGGGGGCAATGGGATGGAAATGGGGCAGAGGGTGCCCTGGGCACGGGGTGGGCACTGGGATGGGGCAATGGGGCTGGGAAAGGGGGTAATGGGTGAACTGGGGGGCAATGGGATGGGAATGGGGCAGGGGGTGCCCTGGGCACGGGGTGGGCACTGGGAAAGGGGTAATGGGTGAACTGGGGGCAATGGGATGGGAATGGGGCACGGGGTGGGCACTGGCCCAGGGCAGTGGGGGGGTCGCCCCCAGCCCCAAAGCCCCCGGCCCTGCCCCACCTCGTCCGCCAGCAGCAGGAGGGGCTCCTCGGCCGCCAGGCCCAGCACGGCCTCCATGTCCCCCCGGCTGAGCACCTGCCCTGCGGGAACACAGCCGGGAACGGGGTGGGATACAGGGATGGGATGGGATGGGAATGGGGATGGGATGGGATGGGAATGGGGATGGGATGGGAATGGGCATGGGATGGGATGGGAATGGGGATGGAATGGGAATGGGGGCACTGAGGCACCAGGAATGGGGATGGGGACTGAACCCATGAATGAGAATGGGAATAGGAATGGGGGGACTGAGCCTGGGAATGGGGACTGAATCACTGGGAATGGGAATGGGAATGGGAACTGAGCCTGGGAATGGGGATGGGGGGACTGAGCCCAGGAATGGGAATGGGGGGACTGAGCCTGCAAATGGGAATGGGGACTGAACCACCGGGAATGGGAATGGGGGGATTGAGCCTTGGAATGGGGACTGAATCACCGGGAATGGGAATGGGGACGGGGCCTGCAAATGGGAATGGGGGGACTGAGACCAGGAATGGGAATGAGGGGGTTAAACTGAGCCACTGGGAATGGGAATGGGGTGGACTGAACCCATGAATGGGAATGGGAATGGAGGCTGAGCCCAGGAATGGGAATGGGGGACTGAGGCACCAGGAATGGGAATGGGGACTGAGCCCAGGAATGGGAATGGGGACTGAGGCACCAGGAATGGGAATGGGGAATGGGGACTGAGCCTGGGAATGGGGAATGGGGACTGAGCCTGGGATGGGAATGGGGATGGGGACTGAGCCTGGGAATGGGAATGGGGACTGAGCCTGGGAATGGGGACTGAACCACTGGGAACGGGAATGGGGAGTGAGCCTGCAAATGGGAATGGGGGAACTGAGCTGGGGAATAGGAATAGGGGACTGAACCACCAGGAATGGGATTGGGAATGGGGACTGAGCCCGGGAATGGGAATGGGAATGGGGGTTAAACTGAGCCCATTGGGAATGGGAATGGGGGGTTAAACTGAGCCCATTGGGAATGGGAATGGGGGGATTGAGCCCAGGAATGGGAATGAGGGGGTTAAACTGAGCCCACTGGGGAAGGGTTTAATTGGGGAAAATAAAGCACGGGGTGGGTTTAAACCAGAGCCCAGCGGGAAACTGAGGCACGGGGGGAGGGTTTGAACCAGAGGGGAAGCTGAGCCTTGGGTGGGTTTGAACCAGAACCCAGAGGGAAGATTGAGACACGAGGAGGGTTTAAGTGGGGAAATCGAGGCCCGGGTGGGTTTAAGGAGGGAAAGCGAGGCCCGGGGAGGGTTGAAGTGGAGCCCGAGAGGGGCGGGTGAGGCACAGACAGGGAGGGGTTTGATCCGAGCCCGGCGGGGAAACGGAGACACGAGGGGGGTGTTAAAGAGGGCAGGGTTTGACCCCAGGGGGTGTTTGTTTGTTAAAGAGGGCAGGGTTTGACCCCAGGGGGTGTTAAAGAGGGCAGGGTTTAGGGTTTGACCCCAGGGGGTGTTTGTTTGTTTGTTAAAGAGGGCAGGGTTTGACCCCAGGGGGTGTTTGTTTGTTAAAGAGGGCAGGGTTTGACCCCAGGGGGTGTTTGTTTGTTAAAGAGGGCAGGGTTTGACCCCAGGGGGTGTTTGTTTGTTAAAGAGGGCAGGGTTTGACCCCAGGGGGTGTTTGTTTGTTAAAGAGGGCAGGGTTTGACCCCAGGGGGTGTTTGTTTGTTAAAGAGGGATGGGTTTAGGGTGTGACTCCAGGGGGTGTTTGTTTGGTTGTCACAGAGGGCACAGCGCGGGTTTAACCCCAGCCCGGGCTGGGCAATGAGGTCCCAGCGGTCCCAGCCAGGCCCGGCCCGGGTGTCCCCCCCGCTCTCACCCGTGGGGTCGCCGGGGTTGACGACACAGAGCACCGTGGGGCGGCAGCGGCCCCGCGCGTCCCGCAGCTGCCGCCGGATCGCGGCCACGTCCACGGCCCAGCCCCGGCCCTCGGCCAGAGGGTACGGGATGGCCACGGCCCCCGCCAGCCCCGCGGCCGCCCCGAGCACGGGGGGGCCCGGCACGGGCACCAGAACCCCCGTGGGCACCGCCGAGCCGGGATCCACCAGCAGCGACAGCACGAACTGCGGACGGGGAAGGAGCGGGATCCCTCGGGATGCGCTCTGAGGATTCCCCGGCGTTCCCAGGGAACGGGGCAGGGGGGGAAATGCCCACCGGGAGGATGGAGGCGGTGCCGCTGCACAGGATGACGTCCCGAGGGTCGCAGGGGATTCCGTCGCGGCGCTCCAGGAAGCGGGAGACGCGCTCGGGGACCCCAGGGAGCGGTGCTCGTGGTTGTAGCCCCCTGAGGAGGGCACGGCCAGGGGGTCCCGGGACAGCCGGACCCGCCGGGGAGACCCCGAGGGAGGTGTTGGGGGGGGGGGAAACAGGGGTGGGAACCTCGTGGGGCTGGGAACGCCACGGAGCGGGAACCCCATAAATCAAACGAGCACCCCAAGGGGCTGGGCACCCCATAAATCAATCGGGCACCCCATAAATCAAATGGGCAACCCCATAAATCAAACGGGCACCCCATAAATCAAACGGGCACCCCATAAATCAAACGGACACCCCATAAATCAAACTGGCACCCCATAAATCAAACGGGAACCCCATAAATCAAACGGGAACCCCATAAATCCAACGGGCACCCCATAAATCCAACGGGTACCCCATAAATCAAACGGACACCCCATAAATCCAACGGGTACCCCAAGGGGCTGGGCACCCCATAAATCCAACGGGTACCCCATAAATCCAACGGGTACCCCATAAATCAAACGGACACCCCATAAATCCAACGAGCACCCCAAGGGGCTGGGCACCCCATAAATCCAACGGACACCCCAAGGGGCTGGGCACCCCATAAATCAAAAGGGTGCCCCGTGGGTTGTTCTGGGGCACCCCAAAGGTCTGGGCACCCATAAATAAAATGGACACCCCATAAATCAAACGGGCACCCCGTGGGTTGTTCTGGGGCACCCCAAAGGTCTGGGCACCCATAAATAAAATGGACACCCCATAAATCAAACGGGCACCCCGTGGGTTGTTCTGGGGCACCCCAAAGGTCCGGGCACCCCATAAATAAAATGGGCACCCCATAACTCCACCGGGCACCCCGTGGGTTGTTCTGGGGCTCCCCAAAGGTCTGGGCACCCCATAACTCATATGGATACCCCATAACTCAAACGGGCACCCCATGGGTTGTTCTGAGGGCACCCCAAAGGTCTGGGCACCCCATAAATAAAATGGGCACCCCATAAATCAAACGGGCACCCCGTGGGTTGTTCTGGGGCACCCCAAAGGCATGGGCACCCCATGACTCAAATGGTCACCCCATAACTCTAAACGGGCACCCCATGGGTTGTTCTCGGGCACCCCAAAGGTCCGGGCACCCCATAACTCAAATGGAACCCCATAATTCAAATGGGCACCCCGTGACTTGTTCTAGGGTACCCCAAGGGTCTGGGCACGCCATAAATAAAATGGGCACCCCATAAATCAAACGGGCACCCCGTGGGTTGTTCTGGGGCACCCCAAGGGTCTGGGCACCCATAAATAAAATGGGCACCCCATAACTCTCACCGGGCACCCCATGGGTTGTTCTGGGGCACCCCAAGGTCTGGGCACCCCATAACTCAAATGGACACCCCACAATTCAAACGGGCACCCCATAAATAAAATGGGCACCCCATAACTCAAACGGGCACCCCGTGGGTTGTTCTGGGGCACCCCAAGGGTCTGGGCACCCATAAATAAAATGGGCACCCCATAACTCTAAACGGGCACCCCATGGGTTGTTCTGGGGCACCCCAAGGTCTGGGCACCCCATAACTCAAATGGACACCCCACAATTCAAACGGGCACCCCATAAATAAAATGGGCACCCCATAACTCTAAACGGGCACCTCGTAAATTGTTTTGGGTGCACCCCACGGCTCTGGGCACCCCAAAACTCCAGCGGGCACCCCACACATCACCAGACCCCCCGTGGGCAGTCCCCACAATCCCCACACTGAGCGCCCCGTGGAACCCCGACCCCCACCCCCAGCACCCTCCAAACCCCACCGGGACCCCAAACCCCCGGACCCCCAAACCCCTCGGACCCCCCAAACCCCTGGACCCCCAAAACCCAGCCGGGAACCCCCAAACCCCCCCGGACCCCCCGCGATCCCACCGATATTTCCCGCATCCATCTCCCGCAGGATCCTCCGCGCCCGCTCCCGCACGGCCTCGGGAAACGTGGGAGTGTCCAATAATTCGGGATAAGCACAGGCGGCCAAAACCTGGGAAAGGGGAGTGGGATTGAGCCCAGGGACACGGGGGGGTCATTCCCGGGGGGAATTGGGGAGTGGGATTGTCCTTATGGACACAGGGGTGACATTCCGGGGGGAATTGGGGATTGGGATTGTCCCTGGGGACACGGGGGTGACATTCCCGGGGGGAATTGAGGAGTGGGATTGTCTTTATGGACACAGGGGCGACATTCCCGGGGGGAATTGAGGATTGGGATTGTCCCTGGGGACACAGGGGTGACATTCCCGGGTGGAATTGAGGATTCGGATTGTCCCTGGGGACACGGGGGTGACATTCCCGGGGGTATTTGAGGATTGGGATTGTCCCTGGGGACACGGGGGTGACATTCCCGGGTGGAATTGAGGATTGGGATTGTCCCTGGGGACACGGGGGCGACATTCCTGGGGGGAATTGAGGATTGGGATTGTCCCTGGGGACACGGGGGTGACATTCCCGGGTGGAATTGAGGATTGGGATTGTCCCTGGGGACACGGGGGTGACATTCCCGGGGGAATTGAGGAGTGGGATTGTCTCCAGGGACACGGGGACGACATTCCCGGGGGTATTTGAGGATTGGGATTGTCCCTGGGGACACGGGGGTGACATTCCCGGGGGGAACCGGGGACTGGGATTATCCCTTGGGACAAAGGGGTGACATTCCCGGGGGAATTGAGGATTGGGATTGTCCCCAGGGACACGGGGGCGACATTCCGGGGGAACTGGGGAGCGGGATTATCCCTGGGAATACGGGAGCGCCATTCCCGGGGGTACCTGGCGCAGGACGGGAATGGGAGCGTGTCCCATGGAATGAGCGTCATCGCCGCTGCCCTCCAGGCGCTGCGGTGTCCCCGCTGTCCCCAAGGTCCCCTCGGAGGCCGCCATTGCCCGGGCGGGCACGGGGGGGGCAGTGCCAGGGGGTGGTGCCAGCCCAGGGACACGGGACGGGAACGGGAACGGTCGGGAAATGGCACTGGGAAAGGGGATACTGGGAGAACTGGGGAGGAAAAGAGGGGGGAAATGGGAGAGGGATGCGCTGGGAATGGGGTGGTCAATGGGAACGGGGACGGTCGGGAAATGGCACTGGGAAAGGGGATTTTGGGGGGAAATGGGGAGGAAAAGAGGGGGGGAAATGGGAGAGGGATGCGCTGGGAATGGGGTGGTCAATGGGACAGGGAAATGGGGTGGGGAAATGGGATTTTGAGGGGCACTGGGGAAATGGGGAGGAAAAGAGCGGGGAAATGGGAGAGGGATGCGCTGGGAATGGGGTGGTCAATGGGACAGGGGCGGGGCAGGGAAATGGGACTGGGAAAGGGGATACTGGGGGAACTGGGGAGGAAAAGAGGGGGGGAAATGGGAGAGGGATGCGCTGGGAATGGGGTGGTCAATGGGACAGGGGCAGGGCAGGAAATGGGGCAGGAAAATGGGATTTTGGGAGGCACCGGGGAGGAAATGGGGTTGAGATCGCAGGGGGATGCCCGGGGCACAGGAGTCAGGTCCTGGGGTGGCACACGGATGGGCACAGAGGACGGACCGGACCCCTGCCCACCCACGACCCTAATCGTTAACCGACCCTTAATCATTACCAGGACCCCAAACAGTAGCCCGCCCTCCCCGCAGGAGTGTGCCCAGGCTCCGGATCCTGCCATGGCAGCCGGGGGCACCTCGGGGGGCACCTCGGGGGGCACCGGGGACCCCCCGGCCCTGGGGACCCCCCTGCTTGAGATGGGTGACGGCACCGAGGAGGAGCTGGCACGTGGCAAGACTCCCTACAGGACCCCAGAGGTCACCCCCAGATCCTACAGTGGCCCCAGGGTCACCCAGGAGCCACTGACCCCATGGGACCCCAGAGTCATCCAGAGCCCCACGGGGACCACAGACATCGTGGACCCCAGGGGACACCCAGACCCCACACGGACCTCCAGGGTCACCCAGAGCCCCACGGGGACCCATAGACACCCGTGGGACCCCAAGGGACACCCAGACCCCCATGGGACCCCCAGAGTCATCCAGAGCCCCACGGGGACCCATAGACACCCGTGGGACCCCCAAGGGGACACCCAGACCCCCACGGGACCTCCAGGGTCACCCAGAGCCCCACGGGGACCCATAGACACCCGTGGGACCCCCAAGGGGACACCCAGACCCCCACGGGACCCCCAGGGTCACCCAGAGTGACCCAGACATCCCCAGGGACACCCAGACACCCACGGGACCCCCACTGGGACCCAGAGACCCCCAGGGGGACCCCCAGACCCCCACGGGACCCCCAGGGTCACCCAGACACCCCCAGGGACACCCAAACACCCACAGGACCCCCACAGGGACCCAGAGACCCCTACAGGACCCCCAGGGTCACCCAGAGCCCCACTGGGACCCATAGACACCCATGGGACCCCCAAGGGGACACCCAGACACCCCCAGGGACACCCAAACACCCACGGGACCCCCACTGGGACCCAGAGACCCCCACGGGGACCCCACTGGGACCCAGAGACCTCCACGGGGACCCCCAGGGTCACCCCGAGCCCCACGGGGACCCATAGACACCCGTGGGACCCCCAGGGTCACCCAGGAACCCCCAGGATCCCCACTGGGACCCCCCCCCCATTCCCAAACGGCCACCTCGGGGTATCCCAGGAGGCTCCTCCATCCCCATTCCCACATTCCCGGGATTCAGGGAAAGGGAGGAGGGGAGGAGAGGACAGCGGGTGACCCCCTGACCCCCGTGTGTCCCCCCTCCCCCACCCTCCCCACCCCTCAGTTCGTCCCCGACGTCACCGACGGGGCCCCGGCGATCCTGCGGCAGGTAACGGGAATAACGGGAATGTCGGGAATGCCTCGGGATGCCGGGAATGCCGGGGGAATGCTGGGAATGCCTCGGGATATCGGGAATGCCTCGGGTTATTGGGGATGCCGGGAATGTCGGGAATGCCGGGAATGCCGTGGGATATCGGGAATGCCGGGATGCGGAATGCCGGGAATGCAGAATGCCGTGGGATATCGGGAATGCCGCGGGATGCCGGGAATGTCGGGGGAATGCCGGGAATGCCGTGGGATATCGGGAATGCCGCGGGATGCCGGGAATGCCGGGGGATATTGGGAATGCCTGGGAATTCCAGGGGATGCCAGGAATGCCGCGGGATATCGGGAATGCCTTGGGAATGCCGTGGGATATCGGAAATGCCGGGGGATCCTGGGAATGCTGCGGGATATCGGGAATGCCTGGGAATGCTGCGGGATATCGGGAATGCCTTGGGATATCGGGAATGCCGGGGGATCCGGGAATGCCGGGGGATGCCGGGAATGCCGGGAATGTCTCGGGATGCTGGGAATGCCTCGGGATATCGGGAATGCCGGGGGATGTCAGGAATGCCGGGGGATATCAGGAATGCCTCGGGATGCAGGGAATGCCGGGGGATGTTGGGAATGCCGCGGGATGCCGGGAATGTCAGGGGATACTGGGAATGCCGGGGGATATCAGGAATGCCGGGGGATGCCGGGAATGTTTTGGGATATCAGGAATGCCGGGAATGCTTCGGGATGCCAGGAATGCCTCGGGATCCCTGGAATGCTGGGAATGCCACGGGATATCGGGAATGCTGTGGGAATGCTGGGAATGCCGGGGGATATCGGGAATACCTCGGGATGCCGGGAATGCCGCGGGAATGCTGGGAATGCCTCGGGAAATTGGGAATGCCGGGGGAATATTGGGAATGTCAGGGGATATCGGGAATGCCGGGGGATTTTGGGAATGCCAGGAATGCCGGGAATGCCTCGGGATATCGGGAATGCCTCGGGACATTGGGAATGCCGGGGGATATCAGGAATGCCGGGAATGCTTCGGGATGCTGGGAATGCCTCGGGATATCGGGAATGTCAGGAATGCCGCGGGATGCCGGGAATGCCTCGGGATATCGGGAATGCTGGGGGATATCGGGAATGCCGCGGGATATTGGGAATACCAGGGGAATATTGGGAATGTCAGGGGATATCGGGAATGCCGGGGGATTTTGGGAATGCCTCGGGATGCTGGGAATGCCACGGGAATGCTGGGAATGCCGGGAATGCCGGGGGATGCCAGGAATGCTTCGGGATATCGGGAATGCCGGGGGATGCCGGGAATGCCGGGGGATATCAGGAATGCCTCGGGATATCGGGAATGCCGCGGGATGCCGGGAATGCCTCGGGAATGCCGTGTCCCCCCCCCGCAGGTGGCGGCGATCTGCGCTTACCCCGCGCTCCTGGAAAACAACGACATTCCCGAGAGAGCCAAGAGACGAGCCAGGAGAATCCTGGGACAGCTCCAGGGAGGGAGCCCCGGTGGGAATGCCGTGGGAATGCCATGGGAATGTGGTGGGAATGCCGTGGGAATGGGGTGGGACACAGGGAAAGGGAGTGGGGGGTGGAAATACCCCACTGGATGTGGGGAGAGATCCTGGGAGAGATCCTGGGACAGATCCTGGGACAGATCCGGGGACAGATCCGGGGACAGATCCAAGAAACAGATCCAGGGAGAGATCCAGGGACAGATCCAGGGACAGATCCAGGGACAGATCCAGGGGACAGATCCTGGGATAGATCCCAGGGGACAGATCCCAGGGGACAGATCCCAGGACAGATCCTGGGACAGATCCAGGACAGATCCAGGGACAGATCCTGGGATAGATCCAGGGACAGATCCCGGGGTACATCCAGGGACAGATCCTGGGATAGATCCTGGGGTAGATCCAGGGACAGATCCTTGGGTAGATCCTGGGACAGATCCAGGGACAGATCCAGGGACAGATCCAGGGGACAGATCCTGGGACAGATCCAGGGATAGATCCAGGGACAGATCCAGGGATAGATCCAGGGATAGATCCTGGGGTAGATCCAGGGACAGATCCTTGGGTAGATCCTGGGACAGATCCAGGGACAGATCCAGGGACAGATCCAGGGGACAGATCCTGGGATAGATCCCAGGGGACAGATCCCAGGGGACAGATCCCAGGACAGATCCTGGGACAGATCCAGGGACAGATCCAGGGAGAGATCCAGGGACAGATCTTGGGATAGATCCCAGGGGACAGATCCCAGGGGACAGATCCCAGGACAGATCCTGGGACAGATCCCAGGACAGATCCAGGGACAGATCCTGGGATAGATCCTGGGAAAGATCCAGGAACAGATCCAGGGAACAGATCCTGGGATAGATCCTGGGATAGATCCAGGGAACAGATCCAGGGACAGATCCTGGGATAGATCCTGGGAACAGATCCAGGGAACAGATCCAGGAACAGATCCTGGGATAGATCCTGGGAACAGATCCAGGGAACAGATCCAGGAACAGATCCAGGGACAGATCCAGGACAGATCCCGGGCTGGATCCATTGACTCCCACCCCCACCAGGCGCCTACAACCTGGAGTACGTGACGGGCCCCGTGGCCGAGAGGATTTCCCGGTTCCTGGAGCACCGGGACGGGATTCCCTGCGAGCCCCAGAACGTCATCCCCTGCAGCGGCACCGCCGCCGCCATCGTGGTGAGGGGACACGCCCAGGGGGCGGGGACACCGCGGGGACAACGGGGGGACACCGGGGGGGGCTTGGGGACACCGCGGGGACACCGCGGGGACACCGTGGGGGGGGTTGGGGACACCGTGGGGACACCTTGGGGACACCGTGGGGGCTTGGGGACACCGCAGGGGGCTTGGGAACACCGCGGGGACACCGGGGACCGGGGAGATCTTGGGGACATGGGGCTTGGGGACACCAAGGGGGTGGCTTAGGGATACTGGGGACATGAGGTCTTGGGAACACCTTGGGGACACCAGGGGGTGGATCTGGGGACACCTTGGGGACACCAGGGGGAGGCATCTGGGGACAACCGGGGGCAGGGGACTTGGGGACAGCTTGGGGACACCAGGGAGGCTTGGGGACACCGTGGGGACACCGAGGGAGGCTTGGGGACACCGTAGGGACACCGAGGGGTGGGCTTGGGGACATCTTGAGGACACTGAGGGGGTGGTCTTGGGGACACTGGTGGGGTGGCTTTGGGGACACCTTGGGGACACCCGGGAGTGGCTTTGGGGACACCTTGGGGACACCAGGGGGCTTGGGGACACTGGGAGACACCTTGGGGACAACGGGGGGTGGCTTGGGGACACCTTGGGGACACCGGGGAGGTGGACTGGGGACACCTTGGGGACACCAGGGGTGGCTCTGGGGACACCTTGGGGACACGGGGGTGGCTCTGGGGACACCATAGGGGGCTCTGGGGACACCGTGGGGACACCGAGGGGGTGGCCATGGGGACACCGGGGGGTGGCTCTGGGGACACCTTGGGGACACCGAGGAGGGTGGCTCTGGGGACACCTTGGGGACACCGGGAGGGTGGCTCTGGGGACACCTTGGGGACAGCAGGGGAGTGGCTTTGGGAACACCGAGGGGGGTGGCTCTGGGGACACCATGGGGACACCAAGGGGACACCATGGGGACACCAGGGGGTGGCTCTGGGGACACCATGAGGGGGTGGCTCTGGGGACACCTGAGGGATAGCTCTGAGGGACACCATGGGGACACCATGGGGACACCGAAGGGGGGGCTCTGGGGACACTTTTGGGACACCATGGGGACACCGGGAAGGGGTGGCTCTGGGGACACTGAGGGACACCTTGGGGACACTGGGGGTGGCTCTGGGGACACCATGGGGACACCATGGGGACACTGGAGGGTGGCTCTGGGGACACCGGGGGGGTGGCTCTGGGGACAATCAGGGGGTTGGCTCTGGGGACACCTTGGGGACACCCTGGGGACATCGGGGGGGGCTCTGGGGACACCATGGGGACACCTTGGGGACACCATGGGGACACCAAGGGGGGTGGCTCTGGGGACACCGAGGGGAGGGCTCTGGGGACACCGGGAGGGTGGTTCTGGGGACACCTTGGGGACACCGAGGGGACACCGAGGTGGGGACACCATGGGGACACCGGGGGGGTGGCTCTGGGGACACCAGGGGGTGACTCTGGGGACACCTTTGGGACACCGAGGAGGGTGGCTCTGGGGACACCGTGGGGACACCATGGGGACATCGGGGGGTGGCTCTGGGGACACCGGGAGGGTGGCTCTGGGGACACCTTGGGGACACCCTGGGGACACCATGGGGACACCAAGGAGGGTGGCTCTGGGGACACCTTGGGGACACCATGGGGACATCGGGGGGTGGCTCTGGGGACACCTGGGGACACCCTGGGGACACCGGGAGGCTCTGGGGACACCTTGGGGACACCCTGGGGACCACCGAGGGGGGTGGCTCTGGGGACACCGGGGGGGTGGTTCTGGGGACACCGGGGGGGTGGCTCTGGGCACACCTTGGGGACACCTTGGGGACACCTTGGGGACACCCTGGGGACACCGTGGTGGTGGCTCTGGGGACATCGGCTGCTCCCGGCAGGACGTGCTGCGGCTGCTGGTGGATCCCGGCTCGGCGGTGCCCACGGGGGTTCTGGTGCCCGTGCCGGGCCCCCCCGTGCTCGGGGCGGCCGCGGGGCTGGCGGGGGCCGTGGCCATCCCGTACCCTCTGGCCGAGGGCCGGGGCTGGGCCGTGGACGTGGCCGCGATCCGGCGGCAGCTGCGGGACGCGCGGGGCCGCTGCCGCCCCACGGTGCTCTGTGTCGTCAACCCCGGCGACCCCACGGGTGAGAGCGGGGGGGACACCCGGGCCGGGCCTGGCTGGGCCCGCTGGGACCTCATTGCCCAGCCCGGGCTGGGGTTAAACCCGCGCTGTGCCCTCCGTGACAAAGAAACAAACAAACACCCCCCTCGGGTTAAACCCTAAACCCATCCCTCTTTAACAAACAAACAAACACCCCCTGGGGTTAAACCCTGCCCTCTTTAACAAACAAACACCCCCTGGGGTCAAACCCTAAACTCATCCCTCTTTAACACCCCCTGGGGTCAAACCCTGCCCTCTTTAACAAACAAACAAACAAACACCCCCTGGGGTCAAACCCTGCCCTCTTTAACACCCCCCTCGTGTCTCCGTTTCCCCGCCGGGCTCGGATCAAACCCCTCCCTGTCTGTGCCTCACCCGCCCCTCTCGGGCTCCACTTCAACCCTCCCCGGGCCTCAGTTTCCCTCCTTAAACCCACCCGGGCCTCGATTTCCCCACTTAAACCCTCCTCGTGTCTCAATCTTCCCTCTGGGTTCTGGTTCAAACCCACCCAAGGCTCAGCTTCCCCTCTGGTTCAAACCCTCCCCCCGTGCCTCAGTTTCCCCGCTGGGCTCTGGTTTAAACCCACCCCGTGCTTTATTTTCCCCAATTAAACCCTGCCCGTGCCTCGGTTTCCCCAGTGGGTTCAGTTTAACCCCCCACATTCCCATTCCCAGTGGCTCAGTCCACCCCATTCCCATTCCCAGTGGGCTCAGTTTAACCCCCCACATTCCCATTCCCAGTGGCTCAGTCACCCCATTCCCATTCCCAGTGGCTCAGTTTAACCCCCCCATTCCCATTCCCATTCCTGGGCTCAGTCCCCCCATTCCCACTCCCAGTGGGCTGAGTTTAATCCCACATTCCCATTCCCAGTGGCTCAGTCACCCCATTCCCAGTGGGCTGAGTTTAATTCCCCCATTCCCATTCCCAGTGGGCTCAGTTTAACCCCCCCATTCCCATTCCCATTCCCGGGCTCAGTCCCCATTCCCAATCCCATTCCTAGTGGCTCAGTCCCCCATTCCCATTCCCCAGCTCAGTTCCCCATTCCCATTCCCCAGGCTCACTCCCCATTCCCATTCCCGGTGGTTCAGTCCCCATTCCCAGGCTCAGTCCCCATCCCCATTCCCAGGCTCAGTCCCCATTCCCATTCCCATTCCCGGGCTCAGTCCCCATTCCCATTCCTGGGCTCAGTCCCCATTCCCATTCCCATTCCCGGTGCCTCAGTCCCCATTCCCATTCCGGGTGGGCTCAGTCTCCATTCCCATTCCCATTCCTGGTGGTTCAGTCCCCTATTCCTATTCCCCAGCTCAGTTCCCCCATTCCCATTCCCATTCCTGGGTTCAGTCCCCATTCCCATTCCCAGGCTCAGTCCCCATTCCCCATTCCCATTCCTGGTGCCTCAGTCCCCATTCCCCATCCCCATTCCCAGGCTCAGTCCCCATTCCCCATTCCCATTCCTGGTGCCTCAGTCCCCCATCTCCATTCCCGGGCTCAGTCCCCATTCCCATTCCCATTCCCAGGCTCAGTCCCCATTCCCCATTCCCATTCCTGGTGCCTCAGTCCCCATTCCCATTCCGGGCTCAGTCCCCATTCCCATTCCCATTCCCAGGCTCAGTCCCCATTCCCCATTCCCATTCCTGGTGCCTCAGTTCCCATCTCCATTCCCGGGCTCAGTCCCCATTCCCATTCCCATTCCCAGGCTCAGTCCCCATTCCCCATTCCCATTCCTGGGTTCAGTCCCCATTCCCCATTCCCATTCCTGGTGCCTCAGTCCCCCATCTCCATTCCCAGGCTCAGTCCCCATTCCCTATTCCCATTCCTGGTGCCTCAGTCCCCATCCCCATTCCCGGGCTCAGCATCCATTCCCATTCCCATTCCTGGGTTCAGTCCCCATTCCCATTCCTGGTGCCTCAGTCCCCATTCCCATTCCCAGGCTCAGTCCCCATTCCCATTCCTGGTACCTCAGTCCCCATTCCCATCCCCATTCCCAGGCTCAGTCCCCATTCCCATTCCTGGGCTCAGTCCCCATCCCCATTCCCATTCCCGGTGGTTCAATTCCCATTCCCAGGCTCAGTCCCCCCATTCCCATTCCCAGGCTCAGTCTCCATTCCCATTCCCATTCATGGGTTCAGTCCCCATTCCCATTCCTGGGCTCAGTCCCCATTCCAATTCCCATTCATGGGTTCAGTCCCCCCCATTCCCATTCCCAGTGGCTCAGTTTAACCCCCTCATTCCCATTCCTGGGCTCAGTCACCCCATTCCCATTTGCAGGCCCAGTCCCCATTCCCATTCCCGGTGGTTCAGTCCCCATTCCCAGGCTCAGTCCCCATCCCCATTCCTGGCACCTCAGTCCCCATTCCCATCCCCATTCCCAGGCTCAGTCCCCATTCCCATTCCTGGGCTCAGTCCCCATCCCCATTCCCATTCCCGGTGGTTCAATTCCCATTCCCAGGCTCAGTCACCTCATTCTCATTCCCATTCCCAGGCTCAGTCTCCATTCCCATTCCCATTCATGGGTTCAGTCCCCCCCATTTCCATTCCTGGGGTCAGTCACCTCATTTCCATTCCCATTCCTGGGCTCAGCCTCCATTCCCATTCCCAGGCTCAGTCTCCATTCCCGTTCCCATTCCTGGGGTCAGTCCCCATTCCCATTCCCATTCCTGGTGCCTCAGTCCCCCATTCCCATTTCCCAGCTCAGTCCCCATTCCCATTCCTGGTGCCTCAGTCCCCATTCCCATTTCCCAGCTCAGTCCCCCCATTCCCATTCCCGGTGGTTCAGTCCCCATTCCCATTTGCAGGCTCAGTCCCATTCCCATTCCCATTCCCATTCCCAGTGATTCAGTCCCCATTCCCAGGCTCAGTCCCCATTCCCAGGCTCAGCCTCCATCCCCATTCCCAGGCTCAGTCTCCATTCCCATTCCCATTCCTGGTGCCTCAGTCCCCATCCCCATTCCCAGGCTCAGTTTCCATTCCCATTCCCATTCCTGGGTTCAGTCCCCATTCCCATTCCTGGTGCCTCAGTCCCCATTCCCATTTCCCAGCTCAGTCCCCCCATTCCCATTCCCGGTGGTTCAGTCCCCATTCCCATTTGCAGGCTCAGTCCCCATTCCCATTCCCATCCCCATTCCCATTCCCATTCCCATTCCCATTCCTGGGTTCAGTCCCCCCCATTCCCATTCCAGGCTCAGTCCCCCCATTCCCATTCCCAGTGGCTCAGTTTAACCCCCTCATTTCCATTCCTGGGCTCAGTCCCCCCATTCCCATTTGCAGGCCCAGTCCCCATTCCCATTCCCGGTGATTCAGTCCCCATTCCCATTTGCAGGCTCAGTCCCCCCATTCCCATTCCCATTCCCAGTGGTTCAGTCCCCATCCCCATTCCCGGGCTCAGTCCCCATTCTCATTCCCATTCCTGGGCTCAATCTCCATTCCCATTCCCCTCCCCATTCCCATTCATGGGTTCAGTCCCCCCCATTCCCATTCCCAGGCTCAGTCCCCCCATTCCGATTCCCAGTGGCTCAGTTTAACCCCCTCATTCCCATTCCCAGTGGCTCAGTTTAACCCCCTCATTCCCATTCCCGGGCTCAGTCCCCCCATTCCCATTTGCAGGCCCCGTCCCATTCCTATTCCCAGTGATTCAGTCCCCATTCCAAGGCTCAATCCCCCCATTCCCATTCCCGGTGGTTCAGTCCCCATTCCCAGGCTCAGTCCCCCCATTCCCATTCCTGGGCTCAGTCCCCATTCCCATTCCCAGGCTCAGTCCCCCCATCCCCATTCCCAGGCTCAGTTCCCATTCCCAGGCTCAGTCCCCCCATCCCCATTCCCAGGCTCAGTTCCCATTCCCATTCCCATTCCCAGTGATTCAGTCCCCATTCCCAGGCTCAGTCCCCCCATTCCCATTCCTGGGCTCAGTCCCTATTCCCATTCCCGGGCTCAGTCCCCCCATCCCCATTCCCAGGCTCAGTTCCCATTCCCATTCCCAGGCTCAGTTCCCATTCCCATTCCCATTCCCAGTGATTCAGTCCCCATTCCCAGGCTCAGTCCCCCCATTCCTATTCCCATTCTCATTCATGGGTTCAGTCCCCATCCCCATTCCCGGTGCCTCAGTGCCCCCATTCCCATTCCATCCCCATCCCCATTCCCATCCCATCCCATCCCATCCCATCCCATCCCATCCCATCCCATCCCATCCCATCCCCATTCCCATCCCATCCCCATTCCCATCCATCCCCATTCCCATGCCATCATCCCATCCCATATCCCATCCCATCCCATCCCATCCCATCCCATCCCATCCCTGTATCCCATCCCATCCCATCCCATCCCCATTCCCATCCCTGTATCCCACCCCGTTCCCGGCTGTGTTCCCGCAGGGCAGGTGCTCAGCCGGGGGGACATGGAGGCCGTGCTGGGCCTGGCGGCCGAGGAGCCCCTCCTGCTGCTGGCGGACGAGGTGGGGCAGGGCCGGGGGCTTTGGGGCTGGGGGCGACCCCCCCATTGCCCTGGGCCAGTGCCCACCCCGTGCCCCATTCCCATCCCATTGCCCCCCAGTTCACCCATTACCCCCTTTCCCAGTGCCCACCCTGTGCCCAGGGTACCCCCTGCCCCATTCCCATCCCATTGCCCCCAGTTCATCCCATTACCCCTTTCCCAGTGCCCACCCCGTGCCCAGGGCACCCCTGCCCCATTGCCTGCCCTGTTCCCCCCCCAGTGCCCCCATTATCCCTTTCCCAGCCCCATTTCCCTGTCTCAGTGCCCACCCCATTCCCAGGACACCCCTTGCCCTATTCCCACCTTATTTCCTCCTCCCAGTGCCCCCATTATGCCTTTTCCATCCCTGTTTCCCCCTGTTATCCCTTTTCCAGCCCCATTATCCCATTTCCATCCCCGTTATCCCATTTCCACCCCCCTTATCCCATTTCCATCCCCTCTATCCCATTTCCACCCCCCTTATCCCATTTCCCTCCCCCTTATCCCATTTCCCTCCCCTTTATCCCATTTCCATCCCCGTTATCCCATTTCCACCCCCCTTATCCCATTTCCACCCCCGTTATCCCATTTCCCTCCCCCTTATCCCATTTCCCTCCCCTCTATCCCATTTCCATCCCGGTTTTCCCCGTTCCAGGTGCATCAGGAGCGCTGCTTTGACCCGGCTCGGCCGTTCCTGTCGTTCCGCCGGGTGCTGGGCGAGGCGGGGGCTCCTCTGTCCCGCTCTGTCCAGCTCATCTCCTTCTACTCCCTGTCCAAAGGGATGGCGGGGTGAGTGGGATCCGCCCCGTCCCCAAATCCCGCCCCTAAATCCCCAAATCCCGCCCCTAAATCCCCAAATCCCGCCCCTAAATCCCTAAATCCCGCCCTTTCCCGGCGCTTCCCATCCCGCTGTGTCCCAGGGGAGGGTTCCGGGCGGGATTTTTCGACCTGGTGAACGTCGACCGGAGCGTCCTGAAGGGTTTCTACACGTGGGGGATGTCGGTGTATCCCCCGATCCTGGGCCAGGCCATGCTGGAGGTGGCCATGGACACCCCCAAATCCCCGGATTCTGCCTACGAGGCCGTGCAGGAGGTGAGGGGAGTGATTATTCCGTTCTATCCCATCCCCATCCCGATCCCACACTCATTCCAACCAACCCTAATCCCAGTCCCACCCCTCCCCATCCCATCCAATTATCCTAATTCCACTCCACCCCATCTCAGTCCCATCCCATTATCCCAATCCCATCCCATTATCCCAATCCCACCCCATCTCTGCCCATCCCATTATCCCAGTCCCATCCCATTATCCCAATCCCACCCTAGTCCCATTCCCATCCCAATCCCATTCCCATCCTCACCCCCAATCCATTCCAGTCCCATCCCATCCCATCCCATCCCAGCCTGGATCTGGCCACGTTACACCCCAGACCCAATCCCACCCCTCTCCCAATCCCATCCCATTATCCCAATCTCAGCCCATCCCATCCCCTTTAGCCCACCCCGTTATCCCATCCTTCCCAATCTCATTCCATCCTATTGCATCCCAATCCCATCCCCAGTCCCAATCCCATTGCAATCCCAATCCCATCTCAATCCCAATCCCAATATCATCACAATCCCAATCCCATCCCAATCCCAATATCATCACAATCCCAATCCAAATCCCATCCCAATCCCAATCCCAACCCCCACCCAAATCCCATCACAATCCCCACCCTGTCCCATCCCATTATCCCAACCCCTCCCCAATCCCAATTTCACCCTAATCCCAATCTCCCCCCTTGCCCCAGCACCGCTGGGGTCTGAGCTGGGATCCTGTCCCATCCCACCCCAATCCCATCCCATTTAACCCATTCCATCCCCCAATCAATCAATCCCTCATTCCCACGCGTGCCGTGGCAGCACCGGCGGGAGCTGTGCCGGGAGCTGTGCCGGGAGCTGTGCCGGGAGCTGTGCCGGGCTCTGGCCACATTCCATGCCCCCAATCAATCCATCCCTCATTCCCACGCGTGCCGTGGCAGCACCGGCGGGAGCTGTGCGGGAGCTGTGCGGGCTCTGGCACATTCCATCCCCCAATCAATCAATCCCTCATTCCCACGCGTGCCGTGGCAGCCCCGGCGGGAGCTGTGCCGGGAGCTGTGCCGGGAGCTGTGCCGGGCTCTGGGCACATTCCATGCCCCCAATCAATCCATCCCTCATTCCCACGCGTGCCGTGGCAGCACCGGCGGGAGCTGTGCCGGGAGCTGTGCCGGGCTCTGGCCACATTCCATGCCCCCAATCAATCCATCCCTCATTCCCACGCGTGCCGTGGCAGCACGGCGGGAGCTGTGCGGGCTCTGGCGCGGAGCACGGCGCGGTGCAGGAGGTGCTGGGCAGGACCCCGGGATGCGCTGCCCGCCCTGGCCGGGGCCTCGCGCCTTCCCCGCATCCACATCCCCCGCGCCCGGAGCTGCGCCACGGTCAGAGGCGGGACACGGGGACAGCGGGGGGCTGGGGAGTGGGGACAATGGGGGCTGGGGACACTGGGGGCACTGGGGAGTGGGGGCTGGGGACACTGGGGGTCTGGGGACAATGGGGGCTGGGGACAATGGGGGCACTGGGGACAATGGGGGACTGGAGGGAGTGGGGGCACTGGGGGACGCTGGGGGCTGGGGACACTGGGGGACTGGGGAGAATGGGGGCACTGGGGACAATGGGGGCACTGGGGATGGGGACACTGGGGGCACTGGGGGACTGGGGGCACTGGGGGATGGGGACACTGGGGATAATGGGGACAGGGGGCACTGAGGGAGTGGGGGCACTGGGGACACTGGGGACACTGGGCGGGCTGGGGCACTGGGGCACTGGGGACACGGGACACTGGGGGCACTGGGGATACTGGGGATAATGGGGGGCTGGGGACACTGGGGGAAAGGGGGCACTGGGGCACAGTGGGGACACTGGGGATGCTGGGGACGCTGGGAGGAGTGAGGGACACTGGGGGGCACTGGGGACACTGGGGACACTGGGGGGCACTGTGGACACTGGGGACACTGGGGGAGGGGGATACTGGGGGCATTGGGGACACTGGGGGGCACTGGGGGAGTGGGGATACTGGGGGAGTGGGGATACTGGTGGGGAGAGGGGGCACTGGGGGAGTGGGGAGTGCGGAGCACTGGGGGCACAGGGACTGGGAATTTGGGGACACTGGGGTCACTGGGTACACTGGGGGAGTGGGGACACTGGGGTCACTGGATACACTGGGGGATGGGGACACTGGGTGGCTGAGAACTTGGGGACACTGGGGGGCACTGGATACGCTGGGGAGTGGGGGACACTGGGGGAGTGGGGGACACTGGGGGAGTGGAGGCACTGGGGACACTGGGGGGCACTGAGGGAGTGGGTACACTGGGGGCACTGGGGACACTGGGGGAGTGGGGACACTGTGGACACTGGAGGGTACTGGGGGGACAGGGGCACTGTGGACACTGGGGGCACTGAGGGGAGTGGGTACACTGGGGACACTGGGGAGTGGGGGCAGTGGGGACACTGGAGGTACTGGGGGGACAGGGGGCACTGGGGACACTGGGGGAGTGGGAGTACTGGGAACACTGGGGACACTGGGGGAGTGGGGACACTGTGGGCACTGGGGGAGTGGGGGCAGTGGGGACACTGGGGGAGTGGGGACACTGTGGACACTGGGGGCACTGGGGGACAGGGGGCACTGTGGACACTGGGGGCACTGGGGGAGTGGGGGATACTGGGGGCACTGGGGTCACTGGGGGGACGGGGGAGGGAACAGGGATGGGAGTGGGGGACTGGAGGGGAGAGAGGGAGGGGGACACGGCCCTGGGGGGTGGGGGACTGAGAATATGGGGGATCTTGGGACATGGGGGATCCTGGGATGTGGGACATCCTGGGATATGGGACATCCTGGGATATGGGGGATCCTGGGACATGGGGGATCCTGGGATATGGGACATCCTGGGATATGGGGGATCCTGGGACATGGGGGATCCTGGGATGTGGGACATCCTGGGATATGGGACATCCTGGGACATGGGGGATCCTGGGATATGGGACATCCTGGGATATGGGACATCCTGGGACATGGGGGATCCTGGGATATGGGACATCCTGGGATATAGGACATCCTGGGACATGGGGATCCTGGGATATGGGACATCCTGGGATATGGGACATCCTGGGACATGGGGGATCCTGGGATATGGGACATCCTGGGATATGGGACATCCTGGGATATGGGGGATCCTGGGATATGGGGGATCCTGGGATATGGGACATCCTGGGATATGGGGGATCCTGGGATATGGGGGATCCTGGGGACACCGGACATCCCTGGGCCGTGGGGAAGGGGACACCCTTGGGGACAGGGGACAGGGTTGGAATATGGGGAACACTCTGGTGTGGGGGGATCCTGGGGACACGGGGGGTCTTGGGGACTCGGGACACCCAGGGGACAGGGGACACCCTGGGGACAGGGGGCTCTCCAGGGGACAGGGGGCTCTCCAGGGGACAGGGGACACCCTGGGGACAGGGGGCACCCTGGGGACTCGGGACACCCTGGGGACAGGGGACACTCTGGGGACAGGGGACACTCTGGGGACAGGGGGCTCTCCAGGGGACACCCCGTGTGTTTCGGGACCCCCCTGGGCACAGGGTCCGGTCCACCCGGGAGTCCCCCCTGGGTGTTCCCCCTGTCCCCCCTGGTCCCAGCGGTTCTGTCCCCTCCCCTGTCCCTGTCCCTGTCCCTGTCCCCACGCGTGTCCCTGTCCCTGTCCCCACGCGTGTCCCACGTCCCTGTCCCTGTCCCCACGTCCCTGTCCCTGTCCCCACGCGTGTCCCTGTCCCTGTCCCCACGCGTGTCCCCTGTCCCCATGTCCCTGTCCCCACGCGTGTCCCTGTCCCTATGTCCCTGTCCCCACACGTGTCCCTGTCCCTGTCCCCATGTCCGTGTCCCCACGCGTGTCCCCATGTCCGTGTCCCCACGCGTGTCCCTGTCCCTGTCCCCACGCGTGTCCCTGTCCGTGTCCCCACGCATGTCCCCAGGCACTGTCCCCATGTCCGTGTCCCTGTCCGTGTCCCCACGCGTGTCCCCAGGCGCTGTCCCTGTCCCCACGCGTGTCTCCTGTCCCTGTCCCCACGTCCCTGTCCGTGTCCCCACGCGTGTCCCCAGGCACTGTCCCTGTCCCTGTCCCCACGCGTGTCCCCACGTCCCTGTCCGTGTCCCCACGCATGTCCCCAGGCACTGTCCCCATGTCCATGTCCCCACGCGTGTCCCCAGGCGCTGTCGCTGCAGCCCGACCGTTTCTTCTGCCGGCGGCTGGAGGAGCTCACGGGGCTGGCGGTGACCCCGGGGAGCCACTTCGGGCACGGGGGGGGCTCCCACCTGGGGTACGGGGGACCCCTGGGGCACCCGAAATGGGGGGGGGAGTTGGGGTTGGGATTTTGGGGTTGTTGTGGTGGGATTTGGGGGTACGGGGGGACCCCTGGGGCACGGGGGCACCCGAAATGTGGGGGTGGGGACACCCAAAATGGGGGTTTGGGGTCCTGTTGGGGGTGTCGGGGGATTTTGGGGTCCCATCGGGGTGGGGGTGTGTTGGGTGTTAAGGGGTGGGATTTGGGGCTGTTAGGGTGGGATTTTGGGGTTGTTGTGGTGGGATTTTTGGGGTCCTGTTGGGGTGTTTGGGGTGGGATTTTGGGGTCCCATCAGAGGTGGGGGTGTTGGGTGTCAAGGGGTGGGATTTTTGGGGTCCTGTTGGGGTTGGGATTTTGGGGTTGTTGTGGTGGGATTTGAGGGTGCGGGGGACCCCCTGGGGCACAGGGGGCACCCAAAATGGGGGTGGGGAGAACACCCAAAATGGGGGCTGAGGTGGGAGTTGGGG